CGTAAGCTTCTCTCTTTTATGTGCGGGTTATTTGTGTATAGCTGACATTATTAGAAGTCACCTTAAAGACCATAATTTGATTAATGAATCTCAGCATGGGTTCACAAGAGGTCGTTCCTGCCTGACAAATTTACTGACGTTCTTCAACAGAACATTTGAGGCAGATGACAGTGATAAAAACGATGATATTGTTTATTTGGATTTTAGTAAAGCCTTCGATAGAGTACCTCACAAGAGACTCTTAAGAAAAGTGGCAGCTCACGGTATAGGAGGTAAAGTTCTCGAATGGACAGAGGCATGGCTTGCCAATAAAAAGCCGAGAGTTTCCATTAATGGGGTCAAATCTGAATGGGGATTAGTCACTAGTGGCATTCCACAAGGATCAGTTTTAGGCCCTCTCCTGTTCATAATTTACATTAATGATCTTGATGAAGGGATTACGAGTAACATGAGCAAATTTGTTGATGATACAAAGATAGGCCGTATGATTCTTTCTGAGGAGGATAGCAATGAACTCCATGAAGATTTGGACAAATTAATGTCTTTGTCTGAAAAGTGGCAGATGAAGTTCAATGTGGATAAGTGTAAGGTACTAGTCCTTGGTAATGAATATAACCCTCTAGGTGAAGTACAGCTTGATCGTACAGAATGTGAAAAAGACTTGGGAGTCATGGTAAGCGGAAATCAAAAGCCAAGACAGCAGTGCAAACAATCCTTCCTCTTTTCTGCAATTTTGCATATGCTGATTGCAACACAAAAGACCTAAAGCTATTATTCAACTCCCCCCGTGGTTGTTTTGCAATATATATATATATATATATATATATATATATATATATAATATATATATATATATATATATATATATATATATATATATGTGTGTGTGTGTCGTGCCGAATATGCAAAACTGGTCAATTAGCAAGAACTCATTTAAAATTAAGTCCTTTCTAAAATTTTCTCTTATACGTTCAAAGATATATTTTTTTTATTAATGTTAATGTAAAATTTTTTAATTTTGCTCCAAAAGAATCTTAGAAAACTTACCTAACCTTAGTATAACAAGAGCAATTTATTTTAGCCTAACCCAACTAAATATATTTTATATTTGTTTACAATAATTTAATGCTAAACAAACACAGTGAAATATATTTTTTTCGTTAGGTTCAGAATGATTTTGGCGAAATTATTGCATACACAAATTTTCACTTGTCCTATATGGCAAGATAGCAAGTTCTGCCTATTCGGCACGACATATATATATATATATATATATATATATATATATATATATATATATATATATATATATATATATATATATATTGATTAGTGAATCTCAGCACGGTTTTACAAAGGGGCGTTTCTGTCTTACGAATTTACTAACTTTCTTCACTAAGGTAGATGAGGAGGTAGATCATGGTATTGAATATGATATTGCGTATATGGACTTCGGTAAGGCTTTCGATAGAGTTCCACATCAGAGGCTGTTGAGAAAACTTAAGGCACACGAAATAGCAGGAGAATTTTTTTCCTGGGTAGAGGCATGATTGACAAATAGGCAGCAGAGAGTAGCGGTGTTCCACAGGGGTCAGTGTTGGGCCCCTTGTTGTCCACAATCTACATAAACGACATGGATGAGGAAATAAATAGCGACATGAGCAAATTTGCTGATGACACCAAAATAGGCCAACCAATTCATTTTAATGATGACACTAGAGCACTCCAGGATGATTTGAATAGACTGATGCAGTGGTCGAAGAGGTGGCAGATGCAGTTTAATATAGACAAATGCAAAGTTTTAAATGTTGGACAGGAAAATAACCATGTCACATATAAATTAAATAATGTAGATCTTAATACTACGGATTGCAAAAAGGATTTAGGAGTTTTGGTTAGCAGTAATCTGAAACCAAGACAAAAGTGCAGAAGTGTTCGCAATAAAGCTAACAGAATCCTTGGCTTCATAGCAAGAAGTATAAATAATAGAAGTCCTCAGGTTGTTCTTCAACTCTATATATCTTTGGTTAGGCCTCATTTTACCCATTCGGCACGACATATTTATGTGTATGTATCATAGTCGTGAATTTAATCACTAAAAACCTTTTACCGTAGCTCCTTTATGTTCCCTCACCAACATACTGGAGGGATTTGTCTGTGCTTATAGTAGGTTTTAGAATGGCTCTTCTCAGGACCTTTTAACTCTTCTAATTTTGCCATAACTTTCACAGTTTTTTAAATGAATTTTTATTACTGTCCAAACATTCACTGAGCCTACGCACAAGAGACAGGAAGCTACTCTCTCCTAAGTTAAGAACTACATTCTTTCACACCTCTCCTCCTTATTCAACCCAAGGAGTTGCGAGCCTTTAATTGGGTCCCTGAAGAGGACAAAAACTGCTATTGGCTAGTTCCCATAATTTATTTCATGCTCTGTTACAGTGCTCAATAAAGTATTAAAACGTGTGTCCCGTCCGGGTTATAAGAATAACAAGATGAGCTCATAAATAATTTACAATACTTAATACTTAGCAAGTTATGGTTGCATTTAGACAAGTTAAAGTAACTATGATTTACTTACAAAAGGAAAAGTCCAATTAATTTTCTAGAAATGCTGGTTATATGAACATTTGTGAGTGAAATGCCTCTGAAATCATGAGTTGTCCTTATTCAAACAATTAATGACAAAGAGTGTGACAATAATTCCTTTGGCTAATTTTACTTTTAATTATATTTACATCAGATGGTGGTGAAAACTCAGAGGTGTCTTTAATCTAGCGGTAATGTGGCAGTAGAGACATCCAGGAGACTGCTGATTTTGACGAATGTACAACAGATATATGGATCTTCCTGTATTATAGAATGATGATAGATGGACCGATTGTCACACTGTCTCAAGTCAAAGAAGCTCAGTTGATATTCTTAACATTCTTGTCCTCAAGCTACTAGTTGACGGCCTAAAACTGCGTCTACTTCCTTCTTGAAGGCAGAACACTGTCACGCATTTCATAACTAATGTGAGAGGGAATCCACAAAAGTTGTTCTCTATCTCACCTGTCTACAGTTCTACAGTACCCGTTTATGGCTTCTGTTACAAACATGTCACAGTTAATACTCTTGGAGTTAACAGCATTAATAGATGATGAAGACTCCTAATTAAGCTCTCAACCTTACTGGGACACACTAGAATATATGAAGCGTAGTTAACAGTTCAGTTGGAAAGGCAGAAGCCCAGAATAGTAGGGCATCTAAAGATAAAAGGAAGGCGATAAAGATAATTTATAAGAAGAAAAGTACAACTAAAACAATTTTTAACTTAATTCATGTTAAGTGCTAAATTCATGTGCGTCATTCTGTGCAAAACGTGGTGGAGGCTCGATCCTCCCTCTGCTGAGTCAGACACTTCTCATTTGCACACACCTGTATATATCAAAAGAATAGATTACATACCATTTATTTAAATAAACACAGGTCACGTTATAATAATTGGAGTACAGATAAAGAGTCTGGTATAGAGAACCTCAGTGAGCATCAGAAGTGCCCTTACATTGTAGAAAACATCAGGGTAGGGATAAACAGACTGTAAATGAACGTAGTCAGAGATAGGTAAGTCAGTAACCTAGCGGAGTTTAGTTTCTTGGAGATATGCATATAAGAAAAAGCTGGAAAATCAGTGTTTTTCATTTTACTTTGATACTTAAATATAATAATATACAATACTGACAAGTTGATAAATAAGACACATGTGCAACAGTTACGTAACTTTATTCCGAAACGTTTCGCCTACACAGTAGGCTTCTTCAGTCAAGTAGAGAGGAGGCAGCAGAAGCAGTAGAGATGTAGAGACGATGTAATCTGTCCATCACCCTTGTAGACGTAGTTTTGAGGTGGTCAGTCCCTAACCCTCTTCTCCAGGCTGAAGGACTGACCACCTCATAACTACGTCTTCAAGGGTGATGGACTCGTGATATTGTCTTCACATCTCTACTACTTCTGCTCCCTCCTCTGTACTCGACTGAAGAAGCCTACTGTGGAGACGGAACGTTTCGGAATAAACTTACCTAACTGTTCACATGTGTCTCACTTATAACCTGTGATGTTTATTTACAGTTTGGCGGAATTTTTTATGATTATCACATAATGAAAGAAGAAAATTATCATAACTGAATAGACTTGGAAAACAGATTCTCGAGAAAAGTCCTTACTTAGAATCTCAGGTCCCAGGTCTACCTCATGTTCTCGCCATACCTTGAATCTCAGGTCCCAGGTCTACCTCATGTTCTCGCCATACCTTGAATCTCAGATTCCAGGTTTACCTCATATCCCCGGCATACCTTGAATCTCAGGTCCCAGGTCTACCTCATGTTCTCGCCATACTTTGAATTTCAGGTCCCAGGTCTACCTCATATTCTCGTTTTACCTTGAATCTCAGGTCCCAGGTTTATCTCATGTCCTTGCCATATCTTGAATCTTAGGTCCAAGGTCTACCATACCTTCAATCTCAGGTCCCAGGTTTACCTTATGTCCCAGCCATACCTTGAATCTCAGGTCAGAGGTTTACCATACCTTGAATATCTGGTCCCAAGTTTACCTCATGTCCCCGCCATATCTTGAATCTCAGGTCCCAGATCTACCATACCTTCAATCTCAGGTCCCAGGTTTACCTCATGTCCCCGCCATACCTTCAATCTCAGGCCCCAGGTTTACCATACCTTGAATTTCAGGTCCAAGATTTATCTCATGTCCCTGCCGTATCTTGAATCCCAGGTCTACCTCATGTCCCCGCCATACCTTGAATCTCAGGTCCTAGGTCTACCATACCTTGAATCTCAGATCCCATGTCTACCATACCTTGAATTTCAGGTTCCAGGTCAACCATATCTTGAATCTCAGGTCCTAGGTCTACCATACCTTGACTCTCAGGTTCCAGGTTTACCTAGTGTCATCGCCTTATGTTGAATCTCTGATCCCTGGTCTACTGATTCATATCCTCGCCTTACCTTGAATCTCAGGTCTCCAACAGGAGGCTGGGCAAAGGGGATAGACCTGTAGGCGTAGAAGGCAGCTCCACTGAGAGAGTGTTCCCTGAGGCCAGAGATCCTGCCTTCCTCAGTGTTCACTACCGGCAGTACTGCCTCTTGCCCCAACACTGCCGCCACCAACACCACCACCATCACAGCCACTCTCGTCATTACTGATTCTCCTGAGGAGAGAGACAGCATTAGCAGAAATTTGAATGCATATGCCCAAATCTCCCATCACAGGCAAGTAAATATTAATTATTTATTATCTTTTGTTGCATGCCTGTTATAGGTGAGTTACCCTTCGTAAGTTAGAAAACCCTTAGACTATAAATCCTAGTTTTTCAGGAGATTTAGGTCTTATTAAAATTTCCGGGAGGATTTGAATCACCATTAAATAATAGAATTGTTACAATAATTTTAGGATATTATTGTTAGGTCGATACCCTGAGAGAACGATATCAATAGTAAATAACGAAACATTATTGGAATCCATTATTATTAATATGATTATTAGGAGGAACGCTAAACCCGTAGAGATTATACAGCGCCTGTGGGGATGGAAGGTGGGGGGTTGGAAGGCATGCAGGCTCAGTTCAAGGAACCGGAGCACAGATCCAATTCCCCTGATCAAGAGCCCTTCACTAGCATCAAGGAACTTACCTCAATTGATGGGCTACTGGAACCCACCTGGTAGGTGGTGACCCGCTGATTGCGAATGAATATTGTTTTCTGAGGTTCCATTAAGTTTCTTTAGATATTATTTCAAATAGAGTTACACAATCACTGGTCAACATTTATTTTCTGGTCAATTATATTACACCGATTCTAGGGTAAGTTTGTGGTGCTGACTCCTAATACCTAGAGTTTACCTGGAGAGAGTTCCGGGGGTCAACGCCCCCGTGGCCCGGTCTGTGACCAGGCCTCCTGGTGGATCAGGCTGTTACTGCTGGCTGCACGCAATCCAACATACGAGCCACAGCCCGGCTGGTCAGGTACCGACATTAGGTGCTTGTCCACTGCCTGCTTGAAGACAGCCAGGGGTCTATTGGTAATCCCCCTTATGTATGCTGGGAGGCAGTTGAACAGTCTCGGGCCCCTGACACTTATTGTATTGTCTCTTAACGTGCTAGTGACACCCCTGCTTTTCACTGGGGGGATATTGCATCGTCTGCCAAGTCTTTTGCTTTCGTTGTGAGTGATTTTCGTGTGCAAGTTCGGTACTAGTCCCTCTAGGATTTTCCAGGTGTATATAATCATGTATCTCTCCCTAATGCGTTCCAGGGAATACAGGTTCAGGAACTTCAAGCGCTCCCAGTAATTGAGGTGTTTTATCTCCGTTATGCGCGCCGTGAAGGTTCTCTGTACATTTTCTAGGTCAGCAATTTCACTTGCCTTGAAAGGTGCTGTTAGTGTGCAGCAATATTCCAGCCTAGATAAAACAAGTGACCTGAAGAGTGCCATCATGGGCTTGGCATCCCTAGTTTTGAAGGTTCTCATTATCCATCCTGTCATTTTTCTAGCAGATGCGATTGATACAATGTTATGGTCCTTGAAGGTGAGATCCACCGACATGATCACTCCCAGGTCTTTGACGTTGGTTTTTCGCTCTATTTTGTGGCCGGAATTTGTTTTGTACTCTGATGAAGTTTTAATTTCCTCTTGTTTACCATATCTGAGTAATTGAAATTTCTCATCGTTGAACTTCATATTGTTTTCTGCAGCCCACTGAAAGATTTGGTTGATGTCTGCCTGGAGCCTTGCAGTGTCTGCAATGGAAGACACTGTCATGCAGATTCGGGTGTCATCTGCAAAGGAAGACACGGTGCTGTGGCTGACATCCTTGTCTATGTCAGATATGAGAATAAGAAACAAGATGGGAGCGAGTACTGTGCCTTATGGAACAGAGCTTTTCACCGTAGCCGCCTCGGACTTTACTCTGTTGACTACTACTCTTTGTGTTCTGTTTGTGAGGAAGTTATAGATCCATCTACCAACTTTTCCTGTTATTCCTTTAGCACGCATTTTGTGCGCTATTATGCCATGGTCACACTTGTAGAAGGCTTTTGCAAAGTCTGTATATATTACTTCTGCATTCTTTTTGTCTTCTAGTGCATCTAGAACCTTGTCGTAGTGATCCAATAGTTGAGACAGACAGGAGCGACCTGTTCTAAACCCATGTTGCCCTGGGTTGTGTAATTGATGGGTTTCTAGATGGGTAGCGATCTTGCTTCTTAGGACCCTTTCAAAGATTTTTATGATATGAGATGTTAGTGCTATCGGTCTGTAGTTCTTTGCTATTACTTTACTGCCCCCTTTGTGGAGTGGGGCTATGTCTGTTGTTTTTAGTAACTGTGGGACGACCCCCGTGTCCATGCTCCCTCTCCATAGGATGGTAAAAGCTCGAGATATGGGCTTCTTGCAGTTCTTGATGAACACGGAGTTCTATGAGTCTGGCCCTGGGGCAGAGTGCATGGGCATGTCATTTACAGCCTGTTCGAAGTCATTTGGCGTCAGGATAACATCGGATAGGCTTGTGTTAACCAAATTCTGTGGCTCTCTCATAAAAAAATTCATTTTGATCTTCGACTCTCAGTCTGGTTAGCGGCTTGCTAAAAACTGAGTCATATTGGGATTTGAGTAGCTCACTCATTTCCTTACTGTCATCTGTGTAGGACCCATCTTGTTTAAGTAGGGGCCCAATACTGGACGTTGTTCTCGACTTTGATTTGGCATAGGAAAAGAAATACTTTGGGTTTCTTTCAATTTCATTTATGGCTTTTAGTTCTTCCCGCGATTCCTGACTCCTATAAGATTCCTTTAGCTTAAGTTCGATGTTTGCTATTTCTCTGACCAGTGACTCCCTACGCATTTCAGATATATTGGCCTCTTTTAGCCGCTCTGTTATTCTTTTCCGTCGCCTGTAAAGGGAGCGCCTGTCTCTTTCTATTTTACATCTACTCCTCCTTTTTCTTAAAGGAATAAGCCTTGAGCATACATCGAGTGCCACCGAGTTAATCTGTTCTAGGCATAAGTTGGGGGTCTGTGTTGCTTAGTCTATCTTCCCAGCTTATATCGGTTAGGACTTGGTTTACTTGGTCCCACTTCATGTTCTTGTTATTGAAATGAATTTGGTGAAGGCTCCCTCGTGACTAATCTCATTATGTCGGTCTGGGGCTCCACGCATACATGTCTGAACCTCGATTATGTTGTGATCTGAGTATATTGTTTTTGATATGGTGACATTTCGTATCAGATCATCATTGTTAGTGACGATGAGGTCTAGTGTATTCTCCAGTCTAGTAGGCTTTATTATTTGCTGGTTTAAATTGAATTTTGTGCAGAGATTTAAAAGTTCGTGTGTGTGTGAGTTCTCGTCAGAGCTGCCTCCTGGTGGTATCACTGCAACAACATTATTTGCTATATTCCTCCATTTTAGGTGCCTTAAGTTGAAATCCCCCAGGAGCAAGATGTTGGGGGCAGGAGCTGGCAGATTTTCCAGACAGTGGTCAATTTTTAACAGCTGTTTCTAGAATTGCTGGGACGTTGCATCCGGAGGCTTGTAGACTACCACAAATGACTAGGTTTTGGTTCTCGATCTTTACTGCTAAAACTTCCACTACATCATTTGAGGCATTAGGCAGTTCTGTGTAAACAAGTGACTCTGCGATATACAGGCCAACCCCCCCCCCTCCCTTTTGCCCGTTCACTCTGTCGCATCTGCATAGGTTGTACCCTGGGATCCATATTTCGTTGTCCAAGTGATCCTTTATGTGGGTCTCTGTGAAAGCCGCGAACATTGCATTTGCCTCTGCAAGCAGTCCACGGATGAAAGGTATTTTGTTGTTCGTTGCTGGCTTTAGACCCTGTATATTTGCAAAGAAGAATGTCATCGGACTGGTGGTATTGGTGGTACTGCGGGGGGGGGGGGTACTTTTTTCCGGCATTAGTATCTGTATCTGTTGGTTTGGAGTGGAGGCCATCGACTGTGGTTCCACTCCAGGAATGACTGGATTTGGTGTACGATTTCTGCCATTTCCTGCCAGTTTTTTTCCTTCCTGGCACTAAAAACCTCTCCCTCTTGAGTGGCTGTGGCTACCCAGGTTTTCCCATGGCCTGGATGTTTTGTATCTTTTTGTCCCCTTGAGATGGTATGCCTGGCAATTTAAATTATAGCACAGTCTTTCCTGTACTGAAGAGGGACACATTTCAGGGTGAATATGTCATCGGTTTTGCTTGATTTGCTCTAGTTTTTGATAAATTTGGTATCCCATTGAAAAACATAAAAGATGTGAAGAAAATATTGATCAGGCGGGGCTAACTTACAAATCGCTTTGAAATTATTTTTTCGATCATGCAAAAGTCAAATCGTGTAATACATATTGGCACTTCATTCTATATAAGAACAGATTAATATAATAAGATAATTCAGATGCCACTAATTACTGCATTTACGATTTTTTTCTTTGTTGGTCATCAGGACAATTTTGTTCAGTGAGCAATTGGAAGAGATGCATATTGGTTACCATTGTGCAATAAGACACATTTCAAGCTTCTAATGGAGTTGTCTATAAAGAGCCGCCAATCTCCTGATCAATATTCAAGTCCCATTCGAAGAAGTCCAGGGATGTTATTGCAATATACAAGTTCTCCATCTTGGCTAAAGTAAGGAAGGAATTCAACCTCTCTTGTCCGATAAGCTGTTTTAATTTCTTGCTGTAGACACTTCTTTTCTTTTAGTTTGGATACTAAAAGTTCAGATACTGTACCTGGTTTGACAGACTTAGGTCACGTGTCAGATCACTGAGTTCTTCTTGGTAGAACTGTTGTGGTGTTTAAATACTTCATATTCACTTCCACTGTTATCACCAATGTTACATTCTAAACCCTGAGTTTCTTCAACATCTGACAATGGAAGGTCAGTCAGTGTTGTAAACACTGGTATGGGAACATCTTCACTGTGTGGCACAGGTCTCTTTGATGACTCTAAATCAGGATATTCCCACTTGACATTCTTGTGTTGATTGAAATCTTTCACATTCACCAAACAGAAATAGCAATCGTCGAGGCGGTTTTTCGGCTCTCTCCACACCATAGGAACACCGAAGTTTAAACTTGTTCCTTTGCCTATTTTTCCACTGTCGTAAGTATTCTACACAGGTTTTACAAACCATATAGAGAG